CCAAATGGCTTGGGAAGGCGTCGGTAGGGAGTCGTACGCGGGAGAGGCGACGGCCAGGTCTTCCGCGCCCACCCCAGGCAGCGTTTCTCCGAACCAAAAGTTGCCTGTGCTGAACGGGCTTGTAGGGCTGAAGTCAGCCAATCTATTGCTTCCGAAATAGGAATCTGTGGAGCCGCTTCCCAAGGAGCTGGAGCTATCGTTTCTGTAATTGGAAATCATTCTGGCGTGGCTGGGAGGGACCGGGTTGGAGGCAAGCCAGGCGGATCCCAGCGTGCCCCCTTCGAAGCTCACGTCGGTGCCGTTGTAGTGGAAGTCGTTCTCCTCGTTGAGCTCGATGTAGTTGCCCGTGCGCATGGCTATGTGCATCTCGATCTCCTCGCGGGCGCGATCGACGTTCTCGGGCATCCCCGTCACCTCGAAGACGGGCTCCTTGTCCCTGCTGGGCGTCACGATGTAGGTGTGCGTCTGCTGCTGAATCCTCTTGATCGTGGCTCCTTTGGGGCCCACCACGAGCCCCACCACGCGGTAAGGCACCCTCACCTGCACCGTGGTCTGCCCCGGCAGGTTGGGAGAGCAGGGCAGCCCCGCCAGGGCCGGGCCGTTCTTGTTGCGCGAGGCCCTGATCATGGAGAAGTGCTCAGCAGCGGAGAGAATTTCCCTTTTGGCCATGGCCACGTCCTCTTTTCGCCCCGTGACCACAAAGATGGGCTCTTCTCCACGCACGGGGGTCTTAATGTACGTGTTCGTCTTGGCCCTCAGCGCTTTTATTTTGCAACCTGTTTAAAGGAAACACATGCAAGTTTAGCAACAAGTCTAAGTTTAGAAAGCCACAAGAAAGCAATCTATTTTAAGCTGAGAGTTTCAAGAAACTGTAGGGTGAAACCAGAGGCAGCTGTTTTCATCTCTGCAAGCCACGCTAGCGAAAGCGGTAACAACGTGGACTTACTCTTTCCAAACAAATCTCTGGCCCTTAAAGCCACAAACTGCTCTAGCAACATGTCCTGGGCCGCTTTTGCCCGTTATCCCCATCATTCCTGTGAGACGGTGAATCAACGTGCGCTGCTTTCCCTCCTGGACACGGGATGCACTCATCATTACCTCAGCAATAGTGGTGGAATTATGGTTTTTTTCTCATTATTTCTAAGATTAAGCTAAACGCCTGCATTTTCATTCAAAACTCTTTGAGAGGAAGTAAACACTTACAAAAACATATGTGTATCCTTAAAACTGACACCCCAATCCTCTTAATGAAAAATGTTCAGTAAAAAACAAACCAAACGTTCACAAGGGAGAGCAGGGCCTGTATTACAACCACGCAGGGTATAGATGAGAGCCATTTACTGAGAATTGTGTGTTTGCTTCCGCTTCCCTGTAAGTGTTTTTGCAATCTTATTCTTCCCTGTGGGATGAAACAGCCACTCCTTGAACCAAAAGTCAGAGTTTGAGCACTTTTTGTTGTGTGCAGCAAGTTCTCTGTGTAATACAATGTGCCTACTAGGAATATTTTTGTTAGTTATATAAATACAGCCTGAAAGACAAGCAAAGAGCCAATGAAACTTTTGTCTGTGGCTCTGAGAGCCAAACTAGACAGTTTGCTGGGACACTGTAACAGCAGGCGCTTCCCTGCGATGCTCACAGTGTCTTGCCATGGCACACACATAAGAAACTTTATCCATTCTGGGGATGAAAAACACAGGTCGCACCAAATCAAAAATCCCGTTCGTGACATGCAGGACTGTCCCCTGGATTCGGTTCTAGTTCAGTTTATCCTATATACAGCGGAATTGGAAAGCAAGTCTCATAACTAATATTCCAAAGGGCACCTCGTGTCTAAATGACCTCAGTGTCTTCCTGGCTTCAGTCTTCAGTGCTAAGGCTGGTCCCCATGAACTACGGAGCCCTGAGCCAAGAGAGAGAATCTGGAAAGACCTCTGGATGAGGACTTCCCCTGGTTGAGGATTGAGTTCCTCCTGAGGTTCTACAAGGACAAGTGCAGGGTCCTGCACGTGGAGGTGAATAATCCCAGTCCCCAGCACAGACTAGGGGTTGACCTGCTGGAAAGCAGCTCTGCAGAGAGGATTTGGGAGTCCTGGTTGACAACAGGTTCCCCATGAGGCAGCAACGTGCCCTCGTGGCCAAGGAGGCCCATGGGCTCCTGGCTGCAGCAGCAGGAGCGGTGCCAGCAGGGCCAGGGAGGGGATCCTGCCCCTCTGCTCAGCTCTGGGGAGGCACCTGGAGCATCGGGGGCACCTGGAGCATCGGGGGCAGCTCTGGGCTCCCCAGGACAAGAGGGACCTGGAGCTGCTCGAGAGGGGCCAGCGCAGGGCCACGAAGGTGATGGAGGGACTGGAGCATCTGTCGTGTGAGGAGAGACTGAGCGAGCGGGGCCTGTTCAGCCTGGAGAAGAGAAGGCTGAGAGGGATCTGAGCAACATGTTCAAGTGCCTGAGGGGAGAGTGTAGGGAGGATGGGGCCAATGGGTAACGGGTGCAAGCTGCAACCCAGTGCCCTGTGCTCTGGGTGTCCCTGCTGCAGCAGGGCTTGGACTGGATGATCTCTAGAGGCCCCTTCCAACCCCAACCATCCTGGGATTCTGTAAGGAATGTTTACAGAGCAAGTGCTTTAAGGAATGTTTATAGAGCAAGTGCTTTAAGTATCGCTTTGCACACAGACTGAAACGTGTTCCCGTTTCCTAGTGCACCTTGAACATCTCTCCGCAGGTTTGCCACCCGGTCTCTCAAATCCGTGCTCTGCGGATCCCTCACACCTCGCACGCAAGGAGCAGCAAGGACAGGGACCTGTTGGGAATGCAGGGAAGGCAGAAGCCCTCCCTGCCGCGAGCAGGGCTCCCTCAGCACCCATGGGGCCACCCGAGGCCCCATCTCCACCAGGAAGCAGGCAGAGAAGTGGGGCAGGACCCATGGAGGGAAGCAGTTTGGTGCCACCAGATCCCAGCCCGGGAGAGCTACTGGGTACCCCGGAGCCAGACCGTGGAGCATGAAGCATCCGTGGGGAAACACAACCAGCAACCTCAGCCCTTTACAAAAGCCCACCCGGGAGGGCCTCAATGCCCCGTCTTCCAAAACGAGGAGAAGGGGGAGCTCTGATGCCAGAGGCCTTATGAGAGCAGGAGAGAAGCCGCATTTTGAAGCCGTTCTGTGTGCACAGCCCCTAATTCCAACAGCTCCCGTCCCCACGTTTGCATTGTGGCTCTGCACAGGAAGGAGCCCCTACAGCCACAGAAGGTGGTGTGCAACTACACTTCAATTTCCTGAATTCATAGATTGCAGAAAAGGTGTTTTTTTTTTTTTTAAATGCTAGGCATTCCTCCATACCTTCTTCTTCAAGCTCTGTATTATGAAATCGCACTTCAGAGCCTCTGCAATTCTAGCTTCCGAGGTGCCTTGCCCAACTTCATAGCTTACATTTTATACTAGGCTTCCCTGACGATTTAGAAACTAGAATTCGGTTAAAAACTTGCACCTTCGGCTTCGTTTCTCATTTCACATGAAAGCTCCCACAACTTGCTTTTTAACAGCTGCATTTCCCAGCAATTCAGACCCAAAGAGGAGCCTTCCCAGCGCCCTCCTTGGATGGCAGAAGGGCACGTGGGCCACAGTGGGCAGAGCTCCTCTTGAGGTAGGGGACACAGGCCTAGAAAGTGCAGGGCAAGAGCGGAGCAGCACCGTTAAAACACCCCAAAACTGACTTCAGAAAAGGAAGCTGATCCCACGACACTGTCAAGGTCGACTCTCAAAATTTTATTGGCAAAGTTGGAAGGAAATTGCCACATAAGAAGCCTGAGATTTCTGAATGTCGGTCAACAGCAGCTCAGTTTTGCTTGCAAGGAGCAAAAAAACCCCAAACAGACAAAAAAAAACCCAAACGCAACCAAGATCATAGCAATAATCCTGCAATTTGTTTTTAGTCAGCTGCCGTTTCCTACCCGCTCCTATTAGTCACTCCGAGGTGCCGACACGGCTGCTCCCCCCCCCCCGCGCGTCCCAAGCCGGCACGAAACCAGCCAGATATTAAGACATGTGGCCACCGTATGAAGCAAGAAGTTTCTCAACCTCCCGAGTTCAGACGCAATAGCTCAAAAGATACGGAGGAAAAAAAAGAAAATACACAGCCCCACACTTCCTCAATAAACCAGAGTGTCGTTGTGGAAATTTTGAAAGGCAGAAAGATGGAAAAACCCGAATGCAGGACTGCCTCTTTGGTCTCACCAAATCTTTTAAAGTTATTTAAATTTTAGGACAACTTCCTAATTAAGCATTTGGGTGGTTTGACTGAATTCAGATGGAGCGTTTCATGCTGAAGTTAAAGCAACAGCAAGATTGCTGGGTTGTTTTTTTTGGGGGGAAAGGTTTTTTTTTTTTTTAAGTCTATAGTTAAAGCAGGAAAAAACTCCCAGGTTTAGACCAAAGTTTAAGCACTTGTTGGCTTAGGCAGCGTCTATGAAGAACAGAGTCCGTCCCAAACCCCAGCGGTGTCCCCACTTGTCCCCCAAGAGAACGACTTGACCAAACATTTCAGATGTTCTACGAACGTTGCAATCCTCAAGAAACTTCAGGGCAGCTCCAGAGGAGGCTATCACTGACCTCGCATGCTGACATCTACACCATCTAAAAGCACAGGCTAAAATATTACAGCAAATGTCCATCTGAGCTGTCCTTTTAGAGGCAACAGGCCTAGACTGAAAAGACAGGGCTGTGGAATGGGTGATTTTGCTGAGGTTTTGTATCACCGAGTGCAGTAGCTTTGGCCACAATGCTCTAGTTCAAAATCACCAGGGACTTACCAAAAACACTGGGGTGAGCCCATTTCTTCACGAAAAAGAGCAGCAGCAGCACCCAGAGCACACGCAGCGCTCGCCACGCAACAACAGCCGGCTCAGGCTTCAGTTTTACCTTTCAACCTCATAAACAGGATGCGAGACGCTGAAGCAGGCGTCAGACGACCCGCTCCGCGGGGGAAACTCCCCAGAGGCGGCCGCAAACCTCCGTGCGTGCCGGCCTGCCCTGCTCCAAGGCAAGATTCCGCTGGAAAAGCAGCGAGTTTGAGCACCGAAACCAGCGCTCAAGGGACTCGGGCTGTGCAAAAACCCAGACCATCTCTGGAGACCTGCTACCAACTTCCATCAATACATGCCGGTGGGGACAGGAGGTATCCCAAGGAAACCCAGCCCCTGGTGCTTCTCAGTAAGAACATTAGCAAAATACGGTGTAAAAGCAGGGGCTGGCTTTATAATCATGTTCCTCCTAGAGTTCTTATCAGGACTCAAGCTCAAGAATCGAAACCTTCTTAACTCCACCCCTGTTTAATCTTGTTCCTCCAAATAACAGGTGATTTATAGCGGAGGAAAAAGAGCACCGCCAAAACGGTTTGTCTAAAGGGAAGGCTGGGACTCGCTGGGGCAAAAACTCCATGGAAAAAGCAGCCTTTGTGAGCATGAAGTCCACGGAAGAGCTCTGCTCATGGGGTAGATGACCAAACTCCCGGGCTTCCTTAGCTGCATGGAGCTGCATGCATCCAATGCATCCCCCGCGGGCGGCAGCGGGAATGTGGCATCCCGCATCCCGGAGCAAACCCCGGAGCGGCGCCGCGGAGGGGCAGGCTCCCGGGAATGCACATTCCCAGCAGCTCCCCGCATCCCGGCCTCCATCTGCACCTCTGGCTTTGCCATAAGCTGATGCTGAGCAAGGAGGGGACATCACCTTGCAACGATTAACTTGCTCTCCACGGACCTGCACCTCCTGGGAAATGGCTCCAGA